TACATCTGACTTCTATGAAACTATACAAGAAGGGAGTAGAGTGAAATATTCAAAGTGTTTACAGAAAATAACCACCAACCTAGATTTCTGTATCCTTCAAAAGTGAAGGAGAAATGAAGACTCTCAAACAAAAATAGCGGAAATTTGTTGCTAATACATCTACTTTGCAAGAAATGTTAAAAGATCTTCAGGGAAGAAAAATGATACATGTCAGAAACTTAAATCTACATAAAGAAAGGAATTCTACATTAAAGAAAGTATAAGGGGAGATACAATCAAAACTTAGTTTTCTTTTTTCCTTATTCTTAATTAACTAGTGGCCTGGTGCACAGATTCGTGCACATTGAAAGGAAATTAATTAGAAGAAATGTTTTGATATCACTATTCGCCCTTTCTCTATAATAGAAGTGTCAGAGGTGAAAGAAAATTAGTAAAATGTATATGAAAGTAATATGTAAATTGATTAAGTAAACAATAACAATGATATAACAGACATGATATAAAAACAATAAAAACATGATATAAAAACATTGATAAAAACAATGACTGATAAATTGATTAAACTTATTCTAACATCTCTCTGTATACCACATTAAGAGTAAAAACACTTTCAGAGTGCTTGACTAATTTCCCTTGTGATGAAGTACTTACAACTTTAACATCACACACTCTTTGAACTTGAGAGAAAGCAACATATAACTGACCATGTCCAAAAACAGGTTCAGGTAGGAATATTCCTACTCTGTCTAGAGTTTGTCCTTGTGATTTATTAACAGTCATCGCAAATGATGGCATCACGGGAAATGGGAGGCCAGTGTCAGATAGGGACAAATCAATTCTTGGAATCAGAACAACCTCTCCCTCTGCAGATCCTATTAATACTTCAGCTTCAATTATGTTAGGTCACAATCTTGTGATAATAAATCTAGTACCATTACAAAGACCCCATTTACTATTAAGATTTCTCAGTAGCATGATAATTGCACCTACTTTCAATTTTAATTTATGACGCGGCATTCCCGAAGGAGTAATGCTATTAAGAAATTCAATGGGAAAATTTTCCTTTTCAACATCATCCGTTGAATTGATGGAATCATCACTCAAATGTCAACAAAAACAACCAAATTCACAATAGACAATGACAGATCGAAACACACTGCTGGCTGGCACCAGCAAGAGCTTTATATGTATCATGCATGTGTGAGTCAACTTTTATTTTTAAATTGCCAGTGCGTATCATATGTACTGGCCGGTCGGTCGGACTGTTGGATAAATATACAGTTGGTCACTTTGCCTTTTATATATATAGATATAACAGAACAGTTTGTTCAAAATAATTATAGCAAAAATATATTCAATAGTGATAGCTTATATATACATGAAATGAATGACAATGAATGGGAGAGAAGAATTAGAAATATGTGGTTATGCCCTAGCTGGTTTAGCTCAGTGGACAGAGCACTGGCCTGTGGACTATAGGGTCCCAGGTTTGATTCTGGTCAAGTGCACATGCCCGGGTTATGAGCTCAATCCCCAGTTGGGGGTGTGCAGGAGGCAGCCGATCAATGATTGCCTCTCATCATTGATGTTTCTATCTCTCCCTCCCTTTCCCTTCTTCTATGAAATCAATAAAAACATGGGTTTAAAAAATAAAATAAAATGTGTTAACAAATATACCAAAGCCAATTCAAATACTTAAAAAAAAGAAATATGTGGTTATTATAAGGTATTTGCAATGCCTGTGAAAGTAGACTTGGATTACTTTTAAATGTATATTGCAAAATCTAGGGCAACCACTAGGAAAAATTTAAGAAGCATTACTGATATACTAAGAAAATAGAATAATATAAATGTTCAATAAAAACCACAAAAAGCAGAGAACCCATGAAAGACAAAATTAGAAACAAAGAACAATGGCAACAAATAAAAAGCATTAACAAAAATCCTCAACAATATATAAGCAGATTAAACCCAACAATGTATAAAAAGAATTATACACCATGACCAAGTGGGATTTATCACAGATATGAAAGGCTGACTCAGCATTTAAAAATCAAATCATGCAATCCATCACATCAACAGGCTAAAGAAGAAAAATCACATGATCATATCAACAGAAAAGCATTTGACAAAATCAGCAAACCAGGAAGAGAGGGGAACTTCCTAAACTTAATAAAAACATATGACATAGTATTTAATGGTGGAAAACTCGAAGATTCCCTACTAAAACCAGGAAAAGAGCAAGATGTCTCCTCTCACCATTCTTTTCAAAATCATACCACAAATCTTAGCTAATAAAATAAAAAAAGGAAAAAAAAAAGACAAACGTATTAAGGAAGAAATAGGCTGGTGACTACTGGTAAAGCAGAGGTTGACAGCAACTGAGGCTTCTGGTCAAGATAAAGAAGTAGGGAAAATCTGTGCTCATCTCCTCCCATGACCACATCAATATTAAAACTAAATTATAAAGCAATCGCCCTTGAAATCCACCTGATGACCAGCTAAATAGAACTATAACTAAGGATTTAAAGAAGAAGCCATGTTGAGACTGGTAACAGAGGTGGAGATGCAAAATGGGCTGGTCCCAGACCCACATGTAGCGGTTAAGAACAGGGCGGGGTATCTTGGTTGCAGAGGTCCCCCCCAGAGGAATGAGGGGTCCCCAGCCCCACACCAGGCTCCCCAGCCCTTAGCACCAGTGCCAGAGAGTCCCCACAACATCTGGCTGTGAAAACTAGCAGGGATTCTGTCCAGGTGAGACTGAGGGTTGCTGTCAACCCAGGTGTCCTCCTAAAGGAGGGGCGGAGAACGTCCAGCCCGAGGGCCTTAAGTCATTTGGTCTGGCCCCGCCAAGGCATTAGGGGGGAGTTGATTAAATGTTTGACCAAATATAGCGGGCCAGTTTTTAAGTTGATAATTTTGTATGGTCTGTGAATGATGTTATAAATATACAAATGGCCCTTAGCAGTAAAAAGGTTCCCCAACCCTGTCAAACCAACAACAAGAAAATGAACAACCTGCTTAAAAAATGGGGCAAAGACACCTCACCAAAGATATACAGAAGGCAAGTAACCATTTGAAATCATATGTTAATAGGCAATTGCAAATTAAAACAAGAATGATTTATGACTACACTACCTATTAGAAGGGGCAACATCCAAAACACTGACAACAGTCAATGCTGATGAGAATGTGGAGCAACAATAACTCTCATTCACTGCCTATGGGAATGCAAAATGGTACAGTTACTTCAGAAGAAAATATGCCAGTTTCTCATAAAACTAAACATACTCTTACTATACAATCCAGCAATCATGTTCCTTGGTATTTACCCAAATGAATTGAAAACTTATGTCCACACAAAAACCTGCATACAAATGTTTACAGCCACTTTGTTCATCATTTTCAAAAGCTGGCGTGGCCAGGTAGCTCAGTGGGTTAGAGTGTCATCCAGATACCCCAAGGTTAGGGGTTTAATCCCCAGTCAGGGCACATACAAGAATCACCCAATGTATGCATAAATAAGTGGAACAACAAATCAATGTCTCTCTCAAATCAATAAATAAAAGTTTTAAAAAATTGTCCAAACGTGGAAACATTAAGATATCCTTCAGTAGGTGAATGGATAAATAAACTGTGATACATTCAGACAATGGAATAGTATTCAGCACTAATTAGAAATAAGCTATCAAGCCATGAAATACATGGAGAAAACTTATACTCATAGTACTTATTTAGGAAGGCAATCTGAAAAGACTACATATTGTATGGTTCCAAGTGTATAACATTCTGGAAAAGGCAAAACTACGGAGACAATTAAAAGATCAATGGCTGCCATGGTTGGGGGTGTGGGGAGGAATGAATAGACAGAGCACCGAAGATTTTTTTTGGCAGTGAAACCACTCTGTATAATACTACAATAGTGGATAAACCAAAAGCATTACAAAATTCTGTAATACTGGATATATGTCATTACACATTTGTCGAAAACCATTAAAAATGTACAACATTTCAAGTGAGTCCTAATGCCAACTGTGGGACTTGAGTGATGATGATGTGTCAATGTAGGTTCATGGATTGTAATAAATGTACCACTGTGGTGCTTGATAATAGGGGAGGCTGGGGGGAGGTGGGCACAGTGTAATTGGAAACTCTGTACTATCTGCTCAATCTTGCTAGGGACCTAAAACTACTCTAAAAAATAAAGTCTATTTTTTAAAAAAGAGTTAAGAGCTGTGCAACAATACACATTTGAGTTCATGATTTTCCAGCCTACTTCTTAACACAGTACTGCCAGATTATTAATGTCAAGATCCTAAAGTGAAGTCTTAAAAGTCTGAAAAGAGTATATGAGACTAAACGTCCTGCTACGCAACTTCTACTGATCACTAACACCCCTACTAGAAAAGTTTAAACACGGCTCTCCAAAGCCTTCGTGGTCATTTGGTGATTTTAAAAGATCCGTTAAGATACGCTACCTCCCTATGAAAGTCCCACAGCTACAGGGAAATGTTAAGATGGTTGCATGGCTGTGTTTCTTACCTTGCTTGGGGCATTGTACATCGTATGTTATTTTATTAATGACAAGTTTAAAATCATTCATTAGCAAAAATCCCATCAAGGTTGAAGTTGCAATCTCACTGCCATCTGAAAGAGAAAACAATGCAAAAATACATTCTTGGTTTAGAGCAGTAAGAACCTTTTCCCAATATATAGAGAAATACTTACTAACCCAGGTCTTTATAGAACAGTAGTGGGAGCTCCCTATACCCAACACTGTTCCCATGGGGAGGAATCTCCCCTTTTGCTCTACCGTTCACCCCACTGGACCATGCAGAGCAGGCAGGTGCTTCCTCTCTCACCCTGTCAGCCAGGCTGGGATCCAGACTGATGTCCCTAGGGAGACTGTATCTGCAGACAGTCACGGAAAGATTCAGGGCAGGTGGAAACTTTTACAGCAAGGCCAGAGAGGGTGAGGTGGCAGCTGTGGGCTGGGGATGTCACAGCAGAGCTCATCAGGCTGCTCCTGGGCCAACCTGGTCTGCTGTGTTCTCCCTCGGTTCCTGCCCTCTTCTGAGCCTGGCTTTCTGGCAATCCCAATCTCAGAGTCTGCCGATGCTTACATTTCTGTTGCTTACAGCCAAGTCCAACAGGTCGTACCATTTCTAAAAGCCTGCCTTTCTCTTATTTTTAATTACTATAGGTGATTGATTTGTGTTTGTTAAAACTTGGTAGGCAAACAGTACCACACACCACCACACACAGGCTCCCCACCCCCCCCGCCCCCTTTCTAGTCTGGGAAAGATAAAAAGAGGCAAAGCTGCCAACGGTAGGGGTGGCAGAGATAGTAATAAACATAATTAAACCTAAGGAGTAAATCTGCATTTCTGTGGTGTATTGTGTGGAGGTGGAAAGAGGTAGGAGAGCATCTAGCAGTAATTACAAATATTCTAGGAACATTTCAGGAAAAAAATCTCTTGGAAAATTTTAACCTCCGTGTGCTTTTGCACAGCTTCCCACATAGCCTCGTTTGTGTTATTATACTTTTGAATTACACTTTAATGTAACCCAGATGTGAAGAAAGCAAAGTCATTGAACGGTAAGTAAAAGGCTGGTGCTGTGTAGGAGTTTCTCTTTCTATCATTACTCCTTCAGAACTGTGACATAAGTTCGTCACATCAAGTCGAGGATGAGTATTTTTCCTGGCCTGGCATTTGCTTGGCTACATTACACTGGAGCTATTTCAGCTACATTAGTATGTGTGTGACGGCAGTAATACCGCCAGTAAAATCAGGAAGACCCTGGTTGCCTGCCTCCCGTCTGCTCCTCTGTCGTTCTTTTGTTCCAGAGGCAGCAATTCAAGCCTGCACCTGCGTCTGTTCCTGGAATTTGGCTGTCTATCTCCTGTTTATCAGCTGAGGTGAGATCATGTTCTGAGGAACTGCCAAATAATTCAACCCACAGCATGGGCAAAACTGTGAACACTCTTTTCATGCCCAAACTAAATGCAGGCAAATTCTACCCACTGAGCCTCATTTTATTTATTTTATTTGGCACACTGCTTTTATTTATTTTTAAATTTAAAACATTTAAATGTTGACATTATTGCAGATGTCCCCATTCTCTCTCAGCTTTGCCTGCCCACCTTCACCCACCTCTGCCTTCTCCTCCCTTGGCTGTCACCCCACTACTGTGTGTCCATGGGGTACGCATACATGTTCTTTAGCCAATCCCTTCACCTTTTTTATTCAGTCACCCACACCGGCTCTCCTCTGGCGCCGGCCAGACTGTTCCATGCATCCATGCTCCTGGTTCCATTTCATTCATCAGCCTATTTTGTTCATTAGATTCCACATGTCAGTGAGATCATAAGATACTTGTCTTTCTCTGACTGGCTTAGCATAATACTCTCCATGCTGGAGGCCAAGTCCAGCCGGTCATAATAAATGTGAAAAGTCCTCTAAAGGCTGATGGGCTTTGATATTCAGCAGGGCTGAATATCAGCATTATATTACCCTGCTGCTGGCCAAATAGCTGAGGCTAATTCCCCTAACCTGATAATCCTTTATTGTTTACCAAACCTTACCTTTGATATGTGCGTCTGCTTTGCTAAAGGGCAAAATGTGTGAATAAAAAGCCGTGGGTCCAGATATTCAGGGAGCCCACATCACTAGAGGGTGAGGCCTCCGCCTGGCTCCCCATGACTTCCAAATATGTATTTCTTATCTAGTATATCCATTTATGTCGCAGCCCCTTCTCCAGATTCCTGAACCCTCACTGCAAAAGAATGCGGCATCTCCAGGTCTATCCATGCTGTTGCATAGCTTAAGAGTTCCCTCTTTTTTATGGCCATGTAGTATTCCATTGTGTAAGTGCACCACAGCTTTTTCACCACTCCTCTGCTGATGGGCACTGGGTCGTTTCCAGATCTTGGCTATTGTAAACTGTGCTGCTATGAACACAGGGATGCATATCTTCTTTTTGATTGGTGTTTTGGGATTCTGAGGATATATTCCAAAAGGTAGCTCCATTTTTAATTTTTTGAGGAAACTCCATACTGTTTTCCACCAGAGCCTCTTTTTAAAAAGATCAACAACACACTAATAGTTTCATCTGATTTTGTAAGTGTCATTTAAAAATGTATGTTTAAATGACTTCAACTCTTTTTTTTTTTTAATCCTCACCCGAGGATATTTTTCCCATTGATTTTTAGAGAGAGTGGAAGAGAGAGAGAAAGAGAGAAATATTGATGTGAGAGAAACACATCAATTGGCTGCCTCTGGCACTCACCCTGACCAGGGCCTGGGCAACCGAGATACATGTCCTTGACCAGAATTGAACTCGGAACCCTTCACTCCGCAGGCCAATGCTCTATCCACTGAGCCAAACTGACGGGCAAAATAACTTCAACTCCTTAAAGCATTACTATAAAAAAACAAACTGCATATGATTTCTCAATTGAAGTACTACATTATCCTTTATACTAATGTAGGAACAGCAAAAGGCTGACATGGAATACTTTGAAGGAGCTAATAATGATAAAGTGTTGAAATTTTTCCCCTATTCCTGAGCAAGTATTGATTTAAACCCCAATAAGTGTTTTCACTCAACCCAAAAGTCCCCTTTCTCTAAGATTTCTAGTCTTTTCCTTTGTGCTTTACTAGTATGTTTCAAAGCTGCTCAACCTATTTTTTAGTAATAAGCAGGGTGCACAACCATCCTTGCTTTAACCTCTTTATTTCATTCATTTAACAAGCACTTATTGAATACATACTACCTACCAGGCAGGCACTGTGCTCAAGGTCTGCATCTACCTGCTCTCAGAAGCTTAGGAAGGCAAGCCCTGAGAGGGAGGTCCATGGGTGTTTACTGCTCCTGTAACTGGGGGGAATGTCTGTCAAGTTCAGGGATGGAGTATTAGGCCACTGTGGCCATTGGGCTAAAACCCTACTCTCTGATTCTGGTTTTACCAGGAAAAAAGCTCCCCTTCCAGTTAAATCCGAAGTCCTCACAATAACATTCAACAAGGTTTTCCACACTCTGCCCCTCCCCACCTACTTCCATCCAGCTCCCTCCTTTGCAGCCAGAGGAGGTGGCTCCCACTCAGGGCCTCTGCCTGGAGACTCTTCTCCCACCTACAGAGCTCTCTGATCTCTTCCAGGTCCTCTTCAAATGTGACCTTAGCAAGCCTTCCACCCAACACACACACACACTCCCCACCCCACTCTGCTTTATTTTTTTCCATTTCACTTACCTAATATTTTATATATTTTATTTCTTCACCTTGTTTCTTTCTCCCTTTAAAATGTAAACTCCACAAGAGCAGGAGTTTTTCTTTGTGCTACCTCTCACACCTAGAATAGTGCCTGGTATAAGTTAGTGCTCAATAAATATTTGTTGAGTAATTAATCTTGATTTTTCCAACTTCTCTATCTATCCTTTATAAGTTCTGAACTTTGATAGGAGAGAAGAATGTTTATTTCCTTTTCAAAACTGTACCAGTGTTCAACTTTTAAATAATCTTATTCTAAGTATGGAATCCTATATAATAAAAGGCTAATATGCAAATCGACCAAACAGCGGAACGACGGGTCGCTATGATGTGCACAGACCACCAGGGGGCAGATGCTCAATGCAGAAGCTGCCCCCTAATGGTCAGTGTGCACCCACAGGGGGAGCGCTGCTCAGCCAGAAGCTGGGCTCATGTCTGGGGAACACAGCAACAGTGGCGGAAGCCTCTCCTGCCTCCACGACTGCGAGAGGGTGAAGGCCAGGCTGAGGGACCCGCCCCCCCCCTGAGTGCATGAATTTCATGCACCAGGCCTCTAGTACTACCATAAAATAACAATGCCAATTTATTCATTTATAAAGAATAAACAATCCTTTATTCTATTTTAGGGGCAGTAAGTCTAAGGCCATATCAGAGCACAAGAACATAAAAGCTACATTTTAAATATGATTTTATTGATTTCAGAAAGAGGAAGAAGGGTAGAAACATCAATGATGATGTTCTGCACAAGCCCGCAACCCAGGCATGTGCCCTGACTGGGAATGGAACCGTGACCTCCTGGTTCATAAGTCGACACTCAATCACTGAACCACACCAACAAGGCTAAAAGCCATATTTTAAATTTAAAATTTCTAAATGATTAACCACCTATGCTGGTTTTTAAAAATATGTAGTGCTCGCTTTGGCAGCACATCAACTAAAATGGGAATGATCCAAAGAAGATCAGCATGACCTCTGCACAAGGATGACAAACAAATTCGATAAATGTTCCATTTTTTAAAAAAGTATTATCTTCATATAAGCATAACCAATGGACACAAGACATTGGGGGGTAGGGGAGGCTGGAGGAAGGTCAAGGGGGAAAATAAAAAGGAGACATATGTAATACTCTTTGTAATACTTAAGCAATAAAACAAAATTTTTTTAAAAAAAGTATATTCTTCCAGAGAACCAATTCTGTCAAAAAGCATACTAGATTGAAACTGCTGTATAACAAAGATAAAAACCATTTGTGTATTTTAATTGTTCACTGGATATTTTAATCATTGAAACTATATTTTAAAATATTATTCAAATTTTGCTGAAAATTACACACTGATGACCGTGTCACTAAAATTTTCTCAGGGCTGAGTTTTGGCTCAAATAAACCCATAAAAATTCAAAAATAAAATAAAATGAAATAAAATTTACTCAGGGCTAAGTTTATGAAATAAGTAATCAAAACATGCACTAATTAATATTACTGATTCTAAAAGGTCTCAGTGAAGACCAACCATCCTATCTAATAATAGAGAAACATGGTAATTAGCCATACCTCTGCTACCCTTCCCATTGGCTAATCAGGGCGATATGCAAATTAACTGCCAACCAAGATGGCAGCCGGCAGCCAGGCAGCTTGAAGCGAACATGAGGCTTGCTTGCTTCACTGACAGAGGAAGCCAACATTCCCCACCTGCCTTGCCAGCCTCTGAGCTTGCAGTTTAAGAAACATTGTTACAAATATAGAAGCTAAACAAAACCCCAGAAACCTGCTTTCAGCCAGCCGGGCTTCAGCCAGCAGGACCGCAACATTGTTTCAATTATAGAGCAAACGCAGATCCCTGCTTTCAGCCAGCCGGGATCTCAGAGCTGGAGTGAGCAGGACCTCAACAGTGTTACAATTATAGAACCCAAACAAACCTGATACCTGCTTTCAGCAGCCGAGGCCTCAGAGCTGGAGCCAAGCCTCAGAGCTAAAGCTGGCCAAGAATAAAAAAAAAAAGAAAAAAAAGGACAGGTTGGGAGCTTCAGTCACCCACCAGCCTGAAAAGGGCCCTCAGCCCCTCACCCAGACTGGCCAGGCACCCCAGTGGCGACCCCCACCCTGAAGGGGGTGTGACCAGCTGCAAACAGCCATCATCCTCTCATCCAGGCTGGCCAGGCACCCCAGTGGGGACCCCCACCCTGATCCAGGACACCCTTCAGGGCAAACCAGCCGGCCCCCACCCGTGCACCAGGCCTCTAACCTATATAGTAAAAGGGTAATATGCCTCCCAGCACCAGGATCAGTGGAGCCTTGAGGCTACCCGGCACCGGGATCAGCGTGACAGGGGGCAGCGCCCAAACCCTGATTGCCCTGCAGCTCTGTGAGTGACAGGGGGCGGGGCCACAACCTCCCTATCCGCCCTGCCCTGAGTGTGACAGTGGCCAGTGGCGGTGCCCCAACCCCCTGATCGCCCCTGCTCTGTGGGTGATAGAGGGCGGCGCCCCAACCCCCTGATCTGCCCTGTTCTGTGTGTGACAGGGGGCGGTGCCCCAACTCCCCTATCGGCCCTACTCTGTGAGTGACAGGGGGAAGCTCCTCAACCCCCTGATGGGCCCTGCTCTGTGCATGACAGGGTACGGAGCCCCAACCCCCCTGATGGGCCCTGCTCTGTGGGTGACAGGGGGCAGCGCCCCAACCCCGATTGGCCCTGCTCTGTGCGTGACAGGGGGTAGCGCCGCAACCTCCCTATCGACCCTGCCTTGAGTGTGACAGGGGGCGGTGCCCCAACCCCCCAATCGGCCCTACCCTGAGCGTGACTAGGGGTGGCATCGCAACCTCCCGATCCGCCCTGCTCTGTGCATGACAGGGGGTGGCGCCCCAACTCCCCAATCGGCCCTGCTCTGAGCCCAACCAGGGGCGGCACCTAGGGATTGGGCCTGCCCTCTGCCACCCGGGAGCGGGCCTAAGCCAGCAGGTCGTTATCTCCTGAGGGGTCCCAGACTGCGAGAGGGCACAGGCTGGGCTGAGGGACCCCTCTCCCCCCCCCCCCCGAGTGCACAAATTTTTGTGCACCGGGCCTCTAGTCTATACTAATAAAAGGGTAATATGCTAATTAGGGTGGATGTCTCTGGAAAATCCATCCAGACAAAGCCACAGCAGCTGTGAGGGCCTAAAGCCGGCACCACGCGGGAAGGGCAGGCAGGTCTGGTGCTCACACGGGAGGGGCAGGCCGAGGTGGCACCGCCAGTCCAGTGCCATGGCCCCTTGGGAGAGGGAGTGAAAAGGCGGCACCATGCCCCCTTCCATAGTGCGGCCTGGTCCCAGTGCTGCCCCTTCCACAGAGGTAGCCACAGAGGCAGCAGCGCAGGCCCGGTCCACAGAAGCTGGATGGGGTGCAATCTGCTGCGCCTCAATCTCCCACAGCCCCTCCCCCAGCTGGCCTGGCCCCAGATGGCCCCCCACTCACCAGTGGGCAGGGGGAGGGGCCAGCACTAAGAAGCGAGGCCGAGGGCCCAACAGCTGGCAGTGGCAGCGGCAGCAGGGTGATGGGGGCAGCGCCTCCCCCTGATCAGCCCGGCTGCCTCCCGCAGAGGAGGACATACCTGAGGGCTCCTGGACGGTGAGAGAGGGCAGGCCGGGTTGAGGGACTCCTCTCCCCACCCCCCCCATGCACGAATTTCATGCACTGGGCCTCTAGTTTATGATATAAAGAATGATCTCAAAAAATTAAAAGTGGAACTACCTTATGACCCAGCAATTCCACTTCAGGGAATTTATCTGAAGAAACCCAAAACACTAATTTGAAAGAATATATGCAGAGTTATTTACAATAGCAAGATTTGGAAGCAGCCCTAGTGGATCAGTAGATGAGTGGATAAAAAAGTGTGATACATTTATACAATGCAATAGTACTCAGCTGTAAGAAGAAAGAAAATTTTACCCTTTGCAACAGCATGGATGGACCTGGAGATCATTATGCTAAGTTAAATAAGCCAGTCAGAGAAAGACAAGTAACCTATGATTTCACTCATATGTGGAATTTAATAAACTGAACTAGCAAACAAAACAGAGACAGGCTCATCGATAGAGAGCAGGCAGACAGCTTTAGTGAGGTGTTTTGTGGGGGATGGAAGGATTGAGCAAAAAAAAAAAAAGAGGAAGAACTCATGGACACGGACAACAGTGTGGTGATTGCGGTGGGTGGAGGTGGAAAGTGTATAGTGGGGATAAATGGTGATGGAAAAATAATTACAGAATCAATTTCTTAAAAAGTAAAGAAGCAAAACAAAGGAAAAAGAGGAAAAGAAAAAGACGAAGTTGAAAAAAAAATAGATATATATACCTGCTGTGAAGATGGCTGCATTTTTGACACCTTTATCTTCATTTTGTACGTCCTGAAGAAACGAACCAACTGTTGATAACATTGGTTTGACTACAAATTGACAGCGTTCATTTCTGGATGGTAGAGTGAGTGTTATCAAGGGAAGGCCATGTCTATAACTAACTGTTACTTCTGTTAAGGAAAAAAAGACAATATAAAAATAGATAAAATTTACTTTTTATAAAGATAACTTTAAAATACAAAACCTCTAAAAGGAATGCTTAACCATGTATTCATAAGCCCCTGAATTCCTGCAATCATTTGCACGGCTCCTATAGTGCCTTTACCATACTACGGTTTACAAATTTCCCTACCATTCTATGATGTTTTATCACGGCATATATCACACTTTATTATGATTATCTTAGAGTCTTCCTAGGTAAATAGTTGTTTTTGAGGGCAGAAACGTTTCTCGTTCATCTGTAACTGTTCTGATTGCTGGGGTGGAAGTTTGCCAAAAGACATCAGAGATATCAGGGGAACAGAAAAGGGAGGAACTGAACAGAGCCAGATGCAGGGTGGCATGGGGTGGGGGAATGCAAGAAAAGTCCGTTTTGCTCAAAACTCACACCCTCATTTGATTTGGAAGAATGGCACTAAATCAGCATAGGAATCAAACAAGTGCTCTGAAAGCTTACCATCAGGTGGCGCCACTGTGCTGTAAAGATGTGCTTGATAGCATTTCAGACTTTCACACAGCTTCACACACAAAACCTGTAAGAAAGATTATTTTTTCTTTTAGAAAAAGTGGGAAAGTTGAAGCAAGTACCTTTGCCATAAGATTCCTTTTAACCTTATAAGGCGAGCATAATGAAAAGCCCAGCTTCCTGCACATGCCTGGGTCTGCCCTGGGGGACCTCCCTCACCCTTTCCGGGCCGCAGGGCTGGCTGCCTGCTACGCGGGTGAGCTGCAGCACTGACACTAGGACCAGGTTCTCACCTCGGGGTGAGAGGACTCTAAAAAACGCTAGAGTTTTGAGGCAATTTTTAAATTTGGTTCTTCCTTTTAGGAGATCATCTAAAATAAACGGATGCAAGTATGTTCTAGGTATTTGCTTCTCCAAGTTGGGTCGTGGGCCAGAAGCATCAGCACACCCTAGGAGCTGATCAGCAACCCGGAATCACAGACCCAGCCCAGGCTGATTGGATTAGAATCTGCAGTTTAACAAGATCCCCAGGTGATTCTCCTGCACAGCACACTTTGATAAGCACTGCTCTTGGTAGGTCTGTGTTGTCCAATTTGGTAGTCACTAGTCACATGTGGCCATTTATATTTAAATTAATTAAAATTAAGTAACCCTAAAAATTCAGTTTCTCAGTCACCTTGGCCCCATTTCCAGTGCTCCATAGCTCTTTGTGCAGAATGGCTGCTGCTGGACAGCACAGGAAGAGAGCATTTTCTTCATCACAGAAAGCTCTGCTGACAGTCTTCTGGTTTCTACTAGTGCCCCAGTGCACGGATTCGTGCACACTGAAAGGAAATTAATTAGAAGGTGGCCAGCGGGGCAGGACTGGGCGAGACGGGCCAGACATGCCCTGAAGCCAACCTCCCACGGTCCTTCCCTGACTGGCCGCACCTGGGGTGGCACAGTGGCTCAAAGGTCATCTAGGGAGAGAGCAAAGTCCCTCTGGCAGGTGGGGTCCCTCTGCCTGGCTTGCGGGGATCGTGCTAAAACCAGCTCTCCGACATCCCCCGAGGGGTCCCAGATTTCGAGAGGGCGGTTCTCAGGTGGTGCATCCCGTTATTGGGCTCCCTCCTCTCTGGTTCTGGGTGCGTTACCTGAGAACCGCCACTGCCAAGTCACCACAGCTTGGCAGCTCCTGCGTTGAGTATCTGCCCCCTGGTAGTCAGTGCACGTCATAGCTACCGGTCAGATGGTCAAACGGTAGGATGGTCGCTTAGTCTTTTATATATATAGATAGGGCTTTTAGCTTCTTATTTTTACTTTCTATGAAAAAGTTCATTCTATTCTTTCTGCTTTTCTACTATTTTAGAAATCACAAATTGAGTGGTTTCCTTTACATATTTAAAACGATGAATAAGTGGTTAAAAAAGTGTTCACTGCTACAAAATGAAATGACACTGACTCAAATAATGTTCCATTATGCTCAAAATCAAAGCAATCCCATCAATAATAAAAACATGCAAATACTTATTCCTAGTATTAAACATATCTAGGCAATTAGTTTCAACAAAATATCATCTATCACATTAAGGCTATTCATTTGGATTTTATTTCTAAAACTATAACTCACTACTAGATGAGAAGGAAAAAAGCTGATTATTTCTTAGAATAGGTGCAACTCTCAAAAAAAAATACATAGAAGTTCTCCAAGTTTGATAATGGATATTACAATACTATCTATTACTTTTAGTAAAACTACATGAAACAGAAAAAATGTATCCATTTGAAAATATGTCAGAATTAATTCTCTACCAAAATACATCTCTTAAAATATTTAATGATAGAAACGATCCTCCATGTATAAAGGCTAAATATAAATATGTAGGGGCTAAAAGTTAAAGCCCCTCCCTTTACTTCACAATCCCTACCTTCCCCCCCTTGAAGTAATCACTGTTAGTGGTAACGAAGACTCTCTTCTTGGCCAAATCTGATACAGGTCCTGTAAGCTTCACTAAGCCCCATCCTTGGGCATGTCCTCCAAGAGCCCAGGTTTAGCAAGAATCCTGTTAAGTTCGTTTAGCCAGAACCCTCCATACCTGATCAAATCCTTCATCCTCCACCATCTCCCAAGTATTATCTGATCACCCTAGTCTGCCTTCAGCAAGAATCCTGTTAGGTCAGTGTAGCAAAGATTCACCAAACCCCACTCTGCTCCTCAGATATAAATCCCGACTTTTCCTTGTTGTATTTGGAGTTGAGCTGAATCTCTCTCCCATTGCAAAGTCCCCCTGTTGTGGTCCCCCTGAATCAAGTCTACCCTCCCGTTTTACAACAAGTGCCAGGAATAACTTTTTCTTTGGCAATGGCTTGATGTGCATCCTTCCAGACTTTCTTCTATCTACTACCACCTTTATATATGAGTTAACGTCTATGCTAAAGTCTGTATAATGCTAAAGGTATTAAAGACAGTTTACAAGTCAGGTTCCTAGATAGCAATAACGATAATTCCTCATCATAAAGTATTTATCATTTAATGTGAGATGAAGTTTCTGGTCTACTATCAAGGAAATCATTTTAAGATGCACCCTCTTTTTTTTTTTTTTTTTTTTTTTTTTTAGGAATAACAGTCAATTTTATTGGGCTCAGACCAGGAGTCCATGGGTCTTGAGGACTTCTGTGAATTTGTCAATTTTCTTCTCCACGTTCTTTTCGGCCTGTTTCCGTAGCCTCATGAGCTGCTTTTTCTTGCGGTAATGGATCTTGGCCTTCTCCTTCCTCTTCTCCTCCAGAGTGGCTGTGACGGCCTGGTACTTCCAACCAACCTCATGAGCCAGGCGCCCAAGGTAGGCAAACTTCCGGGTAGGCTTCAGACGCACAACCTTGAGGGCGGCGGGAACCACCATTCACTTTTTCTTGTCATAGGGCGGTGGGATCCCGTCAAACACCCTGAGGCGGTCCAAGGTGGCCTGGCCTCGCTTGGTCTTGTGGGGCAGCATGCACTTGTTTCTGTAGAAATTGCCAGAAATGTTGATGCCCTCACAGCGCACAACCACCACCTTGCGGCCCAGCAGTACCTGCTTGGCCACGATGGCCGCCAGGCGGCCCAGGAGATGGCCTCGGCCATCAAGCACCAGGACCTGCCCCTCCGCCATCTTCGGCAGCCGCCTGGGAAAAGCAAGATGCACCCTCTTGATGACCAGTGTTATACAGTTAGACAGACATGAGCAGAGCAGGGACAATGGACCAGGTGCAGAAACTCGCCAGGGCGGAAAGCCTGGCTGCCTAGAAAGGGGCAAAGCTTGGAAAACAAAGACCTCGCCCCCAGAGTAACCTTTTCTCCCGAGCATATTGCTGGACATGGGATTTAGATCCCCTGACCTTAAATATCGCTGGTCATGTGGTTTAAACCCCCTGACCTTTCCCTCCCTAAAGACAGCATCTAGGCCTCAGTTGTGTTTCATCTCCAGGCCCAGAAAAGCAGCAAAACCAGACAAGTGACTCCATGGCTGCCTCAGGACCAGCTGCATTTACTAATGACTCCAGCCCTGGTGCCGACCAATCAGAGGAGAACATAACCCTGAAAGAGCACACCTGGAAAGCTGATGTTATATTGAGACCCTCCCCAGAGACCTCCCCTAAGATTTCCACCTGCAAGAGAGAGATAAACACCCTCAACAAAAAGGACTCATCCCTCCCTCTCCCCCAGGCGAGCATGCCTGTGCCATCCCTTTTCCCCTCAGCTCCCCACACAGGTATGTATCCCCTAAACCAGCCGTGGGCAAACTACGGCCCGCGGGCCGGATCCGGCCCATTTGAAATGAATAAAACTAAAAAAAAAAAAAAAAAAGACCGTACCCTTTTATGTAATGATGTTTACTTTGAATTTATATTAGTTCACACAAACACTCCATCCATGCTTTTGTTCCGGCCCTCCGGTCCAGTTTAAGAACCCATTGTGGCCCTCGAGTCAAAAAGTTTGCCCACCCCTGCCCTAAACTCTAATAGGCCCCACAAGACTTGCAACCAGAGGAGCAATGGGCAGTGGCACTGTGTTCTGGGCTAAACCCCTGAACCGATCTCCAAGGTCCTCTTTTCTCTGACTTCCCAGTGAGCCAAAGCAGCCCCACCGAGGCTCCCCTGTTGCTTCTTCCATGCCCTTCCTTAGTTCACTGTTCTAAATGTGTTTTTGCTGTGGCCAATAAATTCTTGCTTGTTTTGCTGCACTTTGCCTCTTGACGGAACTCTTTCCTTCAAGAAGACAAGAACTGAGGTCTTGTTGTCTTGCTGGTAACACCAGGAAATGCGGAAAGGCAGAGAGGCCAGAGAAAATTATCAGGGCTTTCTCAAGCATTTGTGTGACTAACAATCCCCTGGAGGGCTGGCTTAAAACTCAGATCCCTGGACTCCACGCCCAGGGATCTTTGTTCTAATAAGTCTAAGGTAAGAGTGTACATAGAATTTGCATTTTTAATAAACCCCAGGATTATACTGAAGTTGCAGATGTGTAGACCACATGACGAGTAGCTGACGCTCAATGGCTTTCAAGGCACCTAAGCTTCTGCATTTAATTCCACACTTTAGTGCTGGGTTAAGGGTTCAGGCCTTCAAATGATAGTATCAAGTCAAAAAGCTGACTGCGGCTTCCCTTTCATCACTATCTTTCCTAAATACAATTCTAACCACTTCACACCCCTGCTTAAAACCCCTTAGCCTTATATGAAGTAGAAAGAATAAAGACCCCAGGGTTGAAAAGAAGGGGATTCTAAATTTAATTCAGCCACTTAACAGCTGAGCGATTCCAGATAAGTTGTAAGAGGGACCACTCTGCGCTTCAGTTTTCTCAAGGGTGAGGTGAGGATAGCAACAGCTATCTTGCAGAGCTGATGTAAAGATTAAAACAAAGCATTAAGCAAGTGCAAGGCATAACACATGCCTAATGGCTAACTCACCTCCCAGCTTTATCACTTACTATTTATTCCATGCAGTAGGAACTTGGGCCCCAGGCAAATGTGCTGTGTCATTCAAGTGCTTTCTTTACCTACTTCTACCTAACTGTCATTCCCTCAAGGTCCAACTCAAATGCCTTTTCCTCTTTCCTGCTGGCTACGACGATCAGAAAAAGTACAGGCTTTGCAGTCAGAACTAAGATGGGATTCCAGCTTCAAGATATACCAAGTACATCCTGACCAGGTAGCTCAGTTGGTTAGAGGATCTTTCTGGTATGCCAAAGTTGTGGGTTTGATCTCTGGTCAGGGCACATACAAGAGTCAACCAATGAATGCATAAATAAGTAGAACAACAAATCGATCTCTCTCTCTCTCTCAAATCAATAAAATAACTATTAAAAAGATGTACCAGCTACTGTGATCTTTGACAGCCAGAGGGTTCAGAAGAAATGGGTTGTGAGATAAAGAAGGGAACATGTTGGGGGTGGAGGGTGGGGGGAGGGTGGAGCCTGGGCTATAATTAGAAGACTACAAGAGGGAAAATATTAATATGGGAGAGATCTGTTTGAGTTTCAAAGTAAAAGGACAGCAGCCATTAGTGGAAAGGAGCTGTATAATGATTACACATTGGGGCCAAGTAACAAGATCAGGTTGCTTCTAGAGTGATGTCACCATTTGGATTAAATACCTTTTATTATTATTAAGAAAACAAAGATGCAATTTTCATTCAAGATTAAGGGACCCCTGTGCTCCGTGCTCAAACACAATGTATTTCCATGTCCCCCAAAACAAAAGAGAAACACAATGTGATAAGCAGGCTCAAGTGGACAGCCAAGGGGGTTCTGAGTCCTGCAGGAAAAAAGAAAATGTTTCAGTGCAAACTTATGCATTGTCCACAGCACATGTTTCCAAGTGATCACAGTTTATCCCTGTTCATTGGTTTGGAGGCATTTTGCAACTAGCAACTATTTGTTAATTGTAGGAAACTGATAGGTATGTAAATTCTGTCCAACCTGGTAGTGATCTGACTTTCTCCCCACTGTGGAAATACCAGTTTTATATCCATTTGCAATTCATCTTAACATTCTTCTTTCCATATAACTTTGTGCTGTTTTATTTTTCCTTTTAATTGGATGTAACATCTGCTTGGTCCCTTCATAGCATAAGGTTGTGGATAGAAAAAGAGGTCTATAAGAAATCTATCCAAAAGCAACCTTAAAGGGTGATCTGATCATAAATTTCTACCTGGGAAGGTCATAGTGGGTAGTCATGCCTCAGGCATATACCCTCTTTAGTAAATGGTTTATCTTTGCCTTAAACTAGCCCTGTCCATTGAAATGCCTCTTTTTCAGACCACCCTCAAGAGAGCACAATCCTGTTAACTATCCTGTAACCCAATCATAGGGAATTTCGGCCTTCCTTCCTCCCACTTATGTAATCTTCCTTGCCTCCCCTTCTTCATTCCAAATGCATAAAAGAGCCGCAGACTGTCATTCTCAGAAGCAAGGCTACATTCTTGCATCCACCTCCTCCCTGCTGTTTTCACATCTCAGGGATAATTTGCACCAAGGAGTATCTAGTTAGTAGAAAGTTCCCTTTCCCTTTCCCCTTCAAATAAGCCTTTTTTGAATTCTTCAGAACTTTTGCTCTAAGCATGTTTTACAGGCTTGGGAAAAATACTGATAAGATAGCTCCTAAGTACTGCTGGACTGTCTTTTGGAAAGCAACAAACTATAACTTTTTAAGACAACCCCAGATATCTACTCAACCTCAACAGAATTCCCCTGCCTTCCCTGTCACTTAGCAACAGCCTCTGCTTAAAAGAGCAGGCTACTCTTTATTGCCTGCCCTGTATTGACTAGCTCTCTTGGAAAGGAAAATAAACTCCCCTCTGCATCTCTTCTTTTAGTTGTGAATTCTTTCACAGCCCGCATCAACGGCCAAACCCTAACAATGACCATCTACAAGCCAAGGAGAGAGGTCTTAGAAGAAACCAACACTGCTGACATCTCAGTTTCCAGAAACTGTGAGTAAAAAAGTCTGTTTAACCCTCCCAGTCTGAGGTACTTTGTTAATGGAAGCCTCAGGAAACTAACACAAACACCAAAGCTGTAAAGTATGTTGGTAAATAAACTATTTACTGTTAAAAAACTTTAGACCAATTTGTGTGTTAAAATGAGTACAAAAATACTAAACTATATTTGGTATATTATATTCAGTGGACTCCTACAACATGTGAAAATCCCTGTCATGTTCAGGGGCGGGAAAAGATCATGAAAACTTTGAGACTTTGTCTAACAAGCGATCCCTATATAATAAAAGTCTAATATGCTAAGTGTCTGGTCATCCCAGTCGGCCATTCAACTAATCAAAGCGTAATATGCTAATGATATGCTAAGGCTGCTCAACCACTTGCTATAATATGCACTGACCACCAGGGGGCAGATGCTCTCACTGGTAGGTTAGCTTGCTGCTGGGTTCTGGCCAATTGGGACTGAGTGAGGCAGGCCAGCCACACCCTGGAGCCCTCCAGCATCCCTCCCCGCTCCAATCATGCATGGGTGGGGTCCCTTGGCCTGGCCTGCACCCGCTTGCAATCTGGGACCCCTCAGAGGATGTCAAAGAGCCAGTTTCAGTCCAAGGCGGAACTATTGGTTGCTATGATGCGCACTGACCACCAGGGGGCAGATGCTCAACACAGGAGCTGCCCCCTGGTGGTCAGTGCACTCCCACAGGGGGAGAGCTGCTCAGCCAGAAGCTGAGCTCACAGCTGGCGAGTGCAACAGCAGTGGTGGGAGCCTCTCCCACTTCACGGCAGCGATAAGGATGTCTGACTGATGGCTTAGGACCGCTCCTCCCTGGGAGGAGCGGTCCTAAGCCGACAGTCGGACATCCCCCAAGGGCCTCTGAACTGCAAGAGGGCACAGGCTGGGCTGAGGGACCCCCCAAGTGCATGAATTTTGTGCATAGGGCCTCTACTAATTAAGTATGTGTTTATGTTAAACACTTAAGGAAAGGAAACCACTTAGTCTGTAGTTTCTAAAGTGGTAGAAAAGAAGAAAGAATAAAACAGACTATTTCATTAAAGGTAGAAAATAAGAAGCAAAAAGCCCTATAGAAACCAGGAAACTTTTTTGAGAATAAAGAAAATAAGCATCCACAATCCCACCAACCTGAATTCTTTTATGCCAGCCTCTATATATATATATATATATATATATATATATATATATATATATATATATGGCATAAAAGATCATAATGGGTTATTTGAGAGCTGATCATTAATGTTTTATAAGATTTACCTGCCTGATTAAAAATGTCTCATTATTTTAAGTTATTTTATTTAAACAGCTCTATAACCATTTATCCTATGGGTGTACCAGAATCTACTTACCTATTGTTAGACATTTCCATTTTATATACTACTTTTACATATTTTTCCTAGTCAGAAATGAATGCATGATCATTTTAGAAAATCCATAAATCACATACTCTCAAAATAAAAAGTAAAAATCGCCAAAAGTAAAAATGCCATCACCTAAAATTATTACAGTTAACAGTGATGTATACCTTCCAGTTTATTTTCTATGTACTGTATTCAACTTTTTACCATTACAACTAAACTGATTCTAAACATCTTTGTACATAAATCCTTGTTTGCATTTTTTCCCTTTAGGATAGACTGCAGAATGATTGAATCATAAAGTTGTAACAACTTTAGGATCCTAAAAATGTATTTTCAAACTTCTTTGGGGAATATTTTCTCCCTCCCCCCTTTAAAAAAATATTTTTTATTGATTTCAGAGAGGAAGGGAAAGGAATAGAGAGATAGAAACATCAATGATGAGAGAGATCACTGACCAGCTGCCTCCTGCAGCCCCCCCCCCGCCCCCCCCCCCCACACACACGCATGCACGTGCACACACACACTGGGGATTGAGCTGGCAACCTGGGCATATGCCCCTCACCAGAATCGAACCCGGGACCCTTCAGTCCGCAGGCCAACACTCTATCCACTGAGCCAAACCGGCTAGGGCCGGGAAAATTTTCTTTGCTTCATGTTGCTTTACTCAATACAATCCCAGATTTGTAGTATTCTGCATCCAACCAAGCAGATTTTCAAAGGTTCAGAATCAAACAAAGACATATTTTGGCATCACGAGCAACAAGCTTCCTGCTGGAGACTCACCCTGATAGGCCACAGGTATCTCAACTGAGTTTTTCTTGTTCCTCCATAGACCTGAGCCTCTCCTTTATTCCTTATCTTGATGAACTGGTAGACCAGAGTTACAATTGAACTGTCACTGAGGCCTACTGATTCTATTTCACAGAGCCCTCAAATCCAACCTCTCCTTTCTAGCTCCACCTCTACTGCCCTAGCTCAGATCCTCACCATCTCACCTAAACCACTGTAACAGCTTCCTCACTGGCTTCTCCCACCAGCCAGTCCAGATTAAGATCTATTCCAATCTTCTAAAATCACAGTAAGCAAACCACTTCTAAATGTAAAGCCCTCTATTTGCTCTCTCTTGCAAAAAGACCAATTCCAAATAAAACTTTCCATGAGTTGATTCCTGTCTACTTCCCCAGCATTACCTACCTGCCAATCCTGTATTCTAGATGCCAAACATATTGCAGTTTCTTGAATTTGGCACATTGTTGCATACTTCCTTGCCTTTGTACTTATTCCCACCCTTGCCTGGAAAGCTCTGTCCAGTGTACCTATGTTTCATGGTCAACTCTTAACTCTCTTACCATAAAACCCACAGAACTCATGTACTACCACCCTTTTGATGAACTCTTCTGACTTCTAGATTTTAAATCTTCCTATCAAAATCCATTTTGTAGCACACACAAATACTTCAGTCTCTCTCAGGTACTACATGAATCATCATTGTTGAAATAAATCTTTTTGATCTAGGCATTCGAAGAAGTTAATCCACAACATGACTAAAGCAGAACAGAAATGGAAGTGATACATACAGCATTACATACAGTAACTGACAATAACTTCCACATCTCAGCTATCTTTCTCTCAGCCGGGTCACATTTATCTCCCTTCTAAGCATTCGGCATTTAGGCCAGTCATTCCCTCATTCTCTGGAGACTGACCTCAGCAGGACCCCTGAAATTATATTCTGGTAAATATTTCTTTCATCCTTCCTTTTTTCCTTCCCTTCTTCTCTCCTTCTTTCCTTTTTTCATTTCAACAAGGAAATGCTTTTGAGAGCAAATAATGAATGATCGCAATCCAGAGAGAAGATATTAGACTAATCTGCTTGTCTACTCCAGTCTGTTACCAACATATTGAAATATTAGAACATATTGGCTTAAAAGTACATTATTTATAATTAATAAATGGAAAGTCAGAAGAGTTCATCAAAAGAGAGCTATTATAGAGCAGTTAGATTTTTTTTTTAACAGAAAAGCAAAATAAATGACAAAAGCTTGGAGCTCAGTGTGAGGTTCTATAAAAAAATCATGACACACCACAGGGTGGAAAACTAATGAACCCAAGAACAAGCTTCAAAACAAAGTAATGATCTAGCTAAGGGGTTTACTTGCTTGGTTCACACATTCCATAGAACTCCACAATTAGGTGGCACATAAAACAGGGTTTTAAATTATTGAGTTTTTATTCATTTTTCTATGCTTATATTTTACCCATTTCCTTCTTTAGCATTTCTTCTGCATTCTCACCCCTTCCTTATATGTTAAATTTTGTTCACTACAGCTTTTAATAGTGTTTTCAATGACAACCTATGTATGGGTAGTAAACCCTCAATATCTGTTAATGTATTCTGTTCTTTTCACTGTTGAGTTTAATCTATTTATATTTATTATTTCAGATAAAGTTCGATATCTGCCATCTTACTTTGTGCTATTTATCCTGATTTTCCTTTGCTTCTTTCTTCCTTTTTGTCTTCCGACAATTGAACTAGTTGTTTTTTATACTCTTTCACCCTCTATTAATTTGGAAGTACATGTATGTTTGCCTTGTACATTTTGAAATTTCTTACTTAGC